AAACTCTGGAGAGCTGCTGCCAGTCAGAGGTGATAGCATCAACCCTGATAGACCAAAAGCCAGGACTTAGCATAAGGCAACCTCATGTATTCATGCTTTCATCACTGGTCCTCTAACTCCGTGTTCTAAATAATAAGGATAGATTATTTCCATCCTATAGTGTTTTCCTTTATACTGATAATTGTATGAGCCTGGTAATAGAAGCATTCAACTCAGTTCTGTTCAGCGCTGACATCTTGACATGCCTTCATTTCAAGAGAGAAGCAAGTGGCTTTGATACTCACATCGTATTTTATCTGGAATTTAATTGGCACTACAGGGAACCGAGAGACTTCAGTCACCATTGCTTGTGCCAAGTGGAAGGCGATATAATCTGTTGCTATGATCACCAGCGTCAATATCAGCATTAATGTGAGGAGAATCATGTGCCTGAAGCATGTCATGAGTTCCTTTCGGGTCAGCTTGAGACCAGTTGACTTGATCAGTTTTTTAGGTGAGCAAACCAGTAGGTGAGTGGCTTTATTTTTCTGAGCCAAGTCTTCCAGCTTTTTGGTGATGTAAATATTGTCAAATTGGAGGTCTGTAAGATAGCTCTTCAGGTACCAAGCCGACTCAAAGATCAAGTAGAAGAGGAAGAAGCCAGCAATGACCCGGTTGGCCAACAGGGTGACCTTCTGGGCCAGCATTTCAACATGTGAGAAATCTTCCTTGATCCCTTGGTTAGCGTCAATCACTTTCCGACTCAGTAGGAAGCTGTTGTTGTGTGTCTCGAACTGAATATGGCCGTCTCTAGGTTTCACTATTTGATTTGGCATATAATCAACAACCCCTTTGAGATAGCGGCTGAAATCCCAAGAAGCATTACCCAGCAGATGTGTTGAGATGAGGAGGCTCTCTGAGGAATTCTTGCAGATGCATTTAATGACTTGCAATATGGCTTGGATGTTGCTCATGATGTTGGGGGCAATGTTGACTGCCACGATCATGAAGCATGCAGACAGGAGAAGCCTCCGCCCTTGCTTGGTCCCTAATGTAGGTACCATCATGGTGAACATGCAGCGGAGAGGGTGCACCAAAAAAAGAGTCAACAAGGCAAGAACACTTACAGCGGCAGCCGTTGCAGTGGAGAATTGGAAGGAATACTGCAGTGAAGAAAACATCCAGCGATAGAAAAGGCCTCCTATTGACATGGCAATACAACAGCACATCAGAAATAAGGACAGCAGCTGGTTGTGATTTGAGGGGAACGGTGTTGAGTAAGCATGCCAGACTTCCAGGGTGAAAGCTTGTATCCGTGGGAATAAAATATCCTGAGAGTAGGCCCAGACCTCCAACCTGTATCAGTAATGCACATTATTTATGCCTAGTTACTATAACAAATATTTGCAAATATTCCAAATTTACTAGCATTTCCAATTACATCACTCTGATCTTTTGACAAACATAGGAAATGAACTGGTAATTGTCCCCCCCTCCCCTTTCTTCACTCTGATCTGATATGAAGATTTTGTTTTTCAAATTCAAATAATTTATGTGCTTTAGATTCAATGGCTTTTCTGAATCCACGAGTGGAGGGAGGAGGAGGAGGAGGAGGAGG